CCGCGGAGGCCCCGCCCCGCCCCCGCAGCCCGGCCTCTCGTTAGAACAAAATGTGGGAAGCCTACAGCCGACAACAGAGGCTAACCGGCATCAGGGCGCGCGCCCCCAGCTCTGTCCGGTCTGAACGTGACACCCGCTTTGCTTGCTTATTCAGAGGAAAACAAAACCCGGATGTCGTGAAGCCCCTTGCTCCCCTCCCCGACCCCCTTCCCCTCCTTGCAAAGCAAACCTCTCACGTCGGCTTGGCCCATCCTCTGCTGGTGCTGATCCTTTTACTACGTATTTATCAGGACACACACAATGCTTAGGATTGGGGGGCGTTTGGGGTTTAATATACATGATATAGTGTGTTCCTCTCCAAACTTGCCCCCCCAATATTATGCTTAGGATTCATTCCTATGAGCACAGGAGCCTTAGTTCATTCGTTTTTACTGCTGTGTAGCAGCCTACTGGATCTACATGTAGTATCCTGGCTCATTTTCTCGCTGATGGATATTTAGGAGTTTTTAAAAGTTTCAAATTTTAATTATTGGTTTTTTTTTCTTTTTTCTTTTGCTTCCAGAACAGTGCCCCTCTCCGGGTCACTTGTGTGTCTCCAGAGGAGATACCCGATGGTCTGCCTGTCCTCGGCCTTACTAGATGATTGCTAGCTTGGGTTAGGTTGGCATTAGTTAAAAAGCTTGCTAAGGCCACACTGCTGCAGGGTGTCACTCTCGAGGTGAGACATTGGCTCAGGGGGGCCGAGGAACTGGGATTTGGACCCGATTAACAGTAAGAGTACCTGCCTCTGAGGCTGCAGCTCACTCTTAGGACCTTAGCTCGCTCCTCACTGCCCTTCAACCTGAGCGCCCACGCTCACCCGCCCTGTCCCAAGCCCACTCTGACCTCCTCCTCTCTCTCTTTCCCCAGAGAGAAGAAGAGCAGCAGCGACACCGCCCCTCGCCCTGGAGGGTCCTGTACAATCTCATCATGGGACTCCTGCCCTTACCCAGGGGTCCTGGAGCCCCAGAGATGGAGCCCAATTAGGTGCCTGCACCCGCCCGGGGGGACGTCGGGGACTTGGGGGGCAGGACCCTCCCACCTCCTGACGCCCTGGCCAGTGCGGGGGACTTTTTCTGCACCATGTAGCATATTGGACTACCAGCCCTGCCTGTCCCACGGGCGGGCCAGGGCAGCCACTCCAGACCCAGCCCCGGCCTAGCCTGGGTGCACTGACGGAGATGTGGACTCCTGGGTCCCTGGCTGAGAAGCCAGGGGAGAGAGGGCTGACGGACTCAGCGTCTGAAGGCGGCGGTGACCGAGGTGGTGGGGACTGAGCCGCCCGCCTCTGCCGCCCACCACCATCTCAGGAAAGGCTGCTGGTGCTGGCTGCCCGTTCCAGCTGCAGGGGTGACACTGGGGGAATCTCCCTCCCAGTGCTCCTTCACTTTGGGCCTGGCCTCAGGCCCCTGGTGCTTCCCCCCCTCCTCCTGGGGAGGGGGCCCGTGAAGAGCAAATGAGCCAAACGTGACCACTAGCCTCCTGGAGCCAGAGAATGGGGTGCGTCTGAGGGCTGCCCCAGCCCAGCGCCCAGCCATCTTCCCTGAGCCAGCCGGCGGGTGGTGGGCATGCCTACCCCACCTTCATCTGGGGGTGGCCAGGAGGGGCCCAGACTGTGAATCCTGTGCTCTGCCCGTGACCACCCCCCGCCCCCATCAATCCCATTGCATAGGTTTAGAGAGAGCACGTGTGACCACTGGCATTCATTTGGGGGGTGGGATATTTTGGCGGAAACCGCCCCAGCCTTAGTCCCCAGGGCGAAGCGCTGGGGGGAAGACGGGGAGTCAGGGAGGGGGGAGTCTCAGAGGAGGGAGGAGTCTGGGAGCGGGGAGGGACGGCCCAGCCTGTAAGATACTGTATATGCGCTGCTGTAGATACCGGAATGAATTTTCTGTACATGTTTGGTTAATTTTTTTTGTACATGATTTTTGTATGTTTCCTTTTCAATAAAATCAGATTGGAACAGTGGATGCTCTCTCTCTCCTTCCCCACTGCATGGTCTCTGAGAGCCTCTGTGACCCTGTCCAGGAGCGGGTGGGAGGCGGTGCCTGGGGCACACCTGGGTGTCCGTAGCTCTATCTAGAGGGAGGCTAAGGAGCAGTACGCCACCTATGCACCCAGCCTTCATGCCTCCCTGCTCCTGTCCCGTTGAAAGCAGAGCCCCGTGAGGACAGGGTGGTTTAGTGCTTTATCCCCACTGGATAAAGTATGTCATGGGGGCTGGACATTTACTGAACGATGTGAACGACCTAGAACTTAGAAGCACCACTGAGGAACGTGTCAGTAAGGCCTAGCACACCGCATGGCATGAAACCCTGTGTGGAATTAATCTAATCTAAGGGAGCTCCTACTGATCTCTTTCTGAACACAGGGCCGAGGGCCAGCTGCCCTCCTTGTGCCCTCTCCCCCACGTGACCGGCACAGACACAGGTTCAGGCCCCAGCTCTCCCCCTCCTGCCTGTCCTCACTGGTAAAGGGAAAGTTCAGGGGAAACGGCCCTTCTCCTAAAGGGCCAGGGCAAGGTAAGCGGGCACATCACCCTGGCGAGGAATTTGGCAAAACCTTGACAAGCTGAGGACATGCATACCTATGCCAGCAATGCTTTCCTGGGCGTGTCCCTGAGAAGTGGATGTGCGCAGGTGTCCGTGTGTTGGCAATGCACAAAACCAGCCATCTAAGTGACCAATAGCAGTCGGTAAATCAAGTCAGCTCTAGTCATACAACAGAATAACAGACAGCAGCTAACTGGAATGAACTAGAACTGTATCAAAACGAATAAACAAACAATGGTGAGCGAAAAAAGCAAGTGGCAAAATGATGGTGGGCACCTGGGTGTTTATTGTACCATTCTGTGTATTTCCTTCAGGCTTAAACACGTGTGCATGGGGCCCAGGGCCCACGGGGGCGCTCACACTGGCTGTCCGGCAGCACAGCTCTGCCTCATCCTCACTGCTGTCCGGCCACTGCCCTGGCAGAGGATGCGCCCTGCTCCTGCCACCAAGTGCCTCCCCTTTCCAGTACCAGTTCATGGACTCGGTCACATGGCTGGGTGAGGTTTATTGATTTATTGTTTTCCGTTTGTCCTGTTTCCTCTCTCCGGCCTTCTCCTGGATTACTTGAACGCATTTTAGACTTCTTTTAGATTCATCTTTGGTGTCCCAGCATGTTTTTAGTACTGCCCCAGGGATCACACACACAGCCTCACCTCTTCACCCTCTATGTAGTTAGAAGTGTACCGCTTCACTTACACCATAGGAACTCGGCCACTGCGCAGGCCCAGACCCTCTCTGCTCCTCCTCCCTTTCTGCCACAGTTGTCATACGGATCACATCCACACACGCTATACGTTTCACAAGACCATGTCGTAACTTCTGCTTTAAATAGTCATACCTATTTCAAAGAAATTAAGAGGAAAAAAGTCTTTCAAAAAAAATTTCCCCATCCAGTGCTCTTCAACGTGTCCTGAAGTTCCAAGTGTCTCCTGGGATAATTTCTTTAAGCCTGAACAACTCCCATTAGCATTTCCTTCTTTCTTTCTTTTTTTTGCTGAGGAACATTGGCCCTGAGCTAACATCTGTGCTAATCTTCCTCTATTTTGTATGTGGGATGCCACCATAGAATGGCTCAATGAACAGTGTGTAAGTCCTTGCCCAGGATCCGAACCCTCAAACCCTGGGCCACTGGAGCAGAGTGTGCTAACTTCACCACTACGCCACCGGGCCAGCCCCCATTAGCATTTCTTATAGTGTATTTTTGCTGGCAACCAATTCTCTTAGTTTCCTTTTGTCTGAAAATACCTATGTGCACTGGTTATAGAATTCCGGGGCTGAAGGTTTTCTTTCAGCATTTTAGAGAAATTGTTTCACCGTCTTCTGGCCTCTATTGTTTCTGATGACAAATCTGGGACCATGTGAATCACAGTTCCCTCTTTGTAATGTGTTGTTTTTGTCAGGCTGCTTTCAAGATTTTTCCTCATTTTTGGTTTTCTTATTGACTATGATATGTCCAGGCACAGTTTTCTTTGTATTTCTCCTGTTTGGGATTCGCTGAGCTTTTCAAGTCCATCAATTTCTATCTTTCACCAAATTTTAGAAGTTTGGGGCCATTATTTACTCAAATATTTTTTCTTCCCCAATCTCTCTCTTCTCTCCTTGTGGGACTCCAATTACATGTATATGTGACCTTTTGATACTGTCCCACAAGTCCCTGAAGCTCTTGTTATTTCAAAAGTTTTTCCTCTTTTTTAGATTGGATAATTTCTATTAATCTATTTCCAGTTCATGGAATCCTCTATCATCTCCATTCTGCTATCAGGTCTACCAGTGAATTTTTAAGACTGCAGATACTGTACTTTTCAGTCCTAGAACATCCATTTGGTTCTTTAACACTTTCTGTTTCTCTGCTGAGACTTCACATACATTTTCCTTTACCTCAATGGGCATAGTTGTAATGAGTGCTTTAAAGTCCTTGTCTGCTAATCCCAACACTTCGGTTCTCTTGGCCGTCTTGTCTTTTCCCTTGAGAATGGGTCCCATTTCCCTGATTCTCTGTTTATCAGGCAACTTTGGATTATATCCTGGATATTATGAACGTTGTGTTGTAGACTTTCTGGATTCTGTTATATTCCTCCACAGGATGAGAAAGTTTTTGTGTCAGGGGATATTTGTAGTTGTTAAGACTCAAACCGCTGCCGTGGGTGACAGTCAAATCCAGTTCACCTCAGTCCTGCTTTGAGCTGGTCCATGCATTCTCAGTCCAACAGTCAGCAAGAGACTCGGGCTGACTGTAGACACATAGCTTGGGCTCCCGTCCCTGGAGCTCTCCTTTCCAGTAGCTGTGGTTACTCTGGGCTCTGTCCGATGGTTCTTCAGGCCAGTAAAGACAGCCGGGTTTTCCACCTGAGCTCGACCGTCCTGGCGCAGTACTACAGTCCTGGCGCAGTACTACAGTCCTGGCGCAGTACTACCGTCCTGGTGCAGTACTATCGGTGAAGCCTGCCCTCAGGCTAAAGCTGCGGGAAAAACAAACACACACACACAAAGAGACTCACCTTTTGGGGGCTCTTCTTGCAACTTTCACCTCCCCTCCACCATCCACAGGCTTCAGAGCCTTCCACTAGTTTGGGGGGTTTTGGGGTGTATTTATTTATTTTTGTCTAGAAGTTACAGTCATTTGCATGGGGGTTTCTCTGTTAGAAACTTACTTCTGTATCTTTTATTTTACTTTATTTTTTCGTGTGTGAGGAAGACTGGCCCTGTGCTAACATCTGTGCCCATCTTCCTCCACTTTATATGGGACGCCACCACAGCATGGCCTGACAGGGGGTGCGTCAGTGCGCGCCCGGGATCCGAACCCAGGTCACCAGCAGCAGAGCGCACGCACTTAACCGCTACGCCACGGGACAGGCCCCTGTATCTTTTTTTTTTAAATGGAACCAAACCTATCATTTTTTAGGACTGAAAAGTGGGGAACCCCACTCCACTACCCAGGTTAGACGAAAAGAGGCACAGACCCAGGGTCAGTGAAGGCCAGAGAAGGCCACATTTTGTTAGCACAGTCCAAAGCGCTCCTAGGAAAACAAGAGAGGGATCAGTTGTTCCAGAGGGAAAGTAAACACCTCAAGTCACCTCTGCGGCCTTCTCTCTTGGAACCAAGGTGCCAAGCAGTCTTGCAACTTGGCAGAGCCAAGGCTGAGAGGACCTGGCAATGAGGCCCTCAGCCAAACCACTGCCACTTGTAAACTGTGCGACCTCTAGCCAGCTAATCTCAGACTCTCCAGCCAGCTAATCCCAAACTTGAACCCGCAAGCCTCCCGCTGGCTTCAAATAATCCCATCCTGCAATGGTTGCTTCTGGAAAGGGAAGATTTACTTTTCACTGTTGATATAGTTTTTTCCTTCCTTAAAAAAGTTGACTGTGACAGGCCGGCCCCATGGCGTAGTGGTTAAGTGTGCGCGCTCCGCTGCTCGCGGCCCGGGTTCGGATCCTGGGCGCGCACCAACGCACCGCTTGTCAGGCCATGCTGTGGCGGTGTCCCACATAAAGTGGAGGAAGATGGGCACGGATGTTAGCTCAGGGCCAGTCTTCCTCTGCAAAAAGAGGATTGGCATGGATGTTAGCTCAAGGCTGATCTTCCTCACACACACACACAAAAAATTTGTGTATCTTTATAAACCATTCAATTCTGTACCACACGCAGGTATTATCTATCCAAACAACAAATGAAATGTACAATGCAACCACCCCACAGCCTTCTGGAAGGAAGCCACATCTCCAATGCACTGATAGACTCCGTAACTCTGGTGTCTGGCACTGGGGAGTCTTTCCCAAGTGTGTACAAAGGAAACGAGCTCAACGTCACTCAACAGCAGACTGATTAAATAGCTTATGGTTCATCTGTGGTTTTGGAATCCGATGCAGTGACAAGGATCTCCAAGACGTAGTGAGAAAAAGCAAGTTACAGAAAAAGTTATTAATGAATATGCATAATAGCAGCTGAACAATTTCTACTCAAAGAAATGTATTACTTCATTTAATCCCCACATATCAGAGGAATGTACTACTATTACCCCATTTTACCGATGGGGTAACAGGACAAAAAGGTCACTTGCCCAACGTCACATAATTAAGTGGCAGAGTCTGGGTTTGAACCTGCCAGTCTGGAAGGCTTCACTCTCAATGGCTGCCAGGGGTGACTCTAGGAGGCAGATACGAAAGTGGATACAGCTAATATATACAAAAAGCATCTCGAGTTTCTCTCCAAAATCTTTGAGTTTAGCCGTGAAGTCAGCTGCTCCTGCTCTGTGGCCAACACTGAGCTGACAGGCCGTATGACGCACTGGGGAAGGATCTTTTTACTCTCATACTTGCGTATTTCTTGAATGTTTTATTCCAAGCTTAAAAACAAAATCTCCTTGCCCTTCTGGACCCAGCTGAAAGCCCTCCCTCAGAACCTGGCCTGACTGATGGTTCTCAGTGGTGACTCCTAGGGCTCAGGACCTTGTGAAGACAAAGCCCGAGTCTCCTTGTCCTCACAAGCAGCAGTGACACCAAATGACTGTTTACTGAGTGTCCCGCGTGGCAGCCTCCCCATCAGCCCCCGTTCCGTCCCTTACTTGCTGGGTGAGGCCCTTTCCTCCTCTGCTATGTGGGCACAACAGCATCCCCCCCAGGGCTGCTGTGAGGGTTCGTACACTGTTATTCTAAAAGGTGCCACGCAGGCAGTGTGGGCATATGTTTGCAATTATTATTATTAACTCTTCTGACTTGCCAACTACAACCCAAGGCTCCACTTCCCTGCCTGCCAAGGGGCAAATGGGGCACACCTCAGTAGATACACACATATTTATATTTACCAAAAAAATGCAAGAAACTGACAAAAGGGTCTGCAGTGCAAAGGGAAATCATGGAATGTGGGGCTGTGATGGCAGCAAAAGCTTCTTACTGTGTGGTGATTTTTTACCTTTACATGTGTTACTTTTTTTTTCCTGAGTAGCACCTGTTTCACTAGAATGTTCTGTCTGAGGTTTCAACACACTAAGCACTTAACAGAGTTTGGCTACTACACATACCAGAGACAACAGAGGTGGAGTATGAAGTGGAGAACGCTGGCAGCCCTGTAACTCCCGCATCCCAGAGGTATTTGTTACCTTCACAGATCAGATCCTCCTTCTCAAGTGGGCTCCGTATCTCTTGGAGGTACCAGAATCCACAGGATAATCACTGTGCACTTCCTGGAGACTTAGGGAAATCCATTTTTAAGATAACACCAGCATGTGATAGGAGAGAGTATGAAATTTGAGGAAACGAGAATAAAGACATTTCTTGCCTGGGGCTGGCAGCCTCCAGCACCACTCCCAGATTCCCAAGAGGTCCTCTCTGGATGACTCACTCCCTGCCATTCGAGGTAGAGGGGTGAAAAAGTTTGAAAAGCTCCAGAGAAGATTCTGCAATGACAATTTTTATCCATCTGGATGGATTTTATCCTCCAGATCCGCCTGCTCCCCCTTGTGACCACAGCCCCACATTGCAGAGGAAAGGGTGTAAGGAGCACCAACTTGCAACCATCTGGTGAGATTCTTGCATGGATAAAACCACTGACCTTGGTGGCCCCAACTCGACACTGATGGAGCCCAGAAAGGGGTCCCTCCAGAAGCACAGCCCTAGCCTCACCTCGGCTGGAACAGAGGTGACGGTGAGGGCTGGGGAGTTGAGTTCCTCCTCCCAGTGGAGACTAGTTTTTTTCCCTGACTGCAGCAGGACTGAAATAGGAAAGGAGTGGATTTCTTCATTCAAACTGGCCAGACCCAAACCTCACACAATTTTACTTCAAGGAGAAACCCAGGTGAGGGGGAAGAAACCTGGAACACACTCAGGCTGCCGAGTGCAGACAAACTTGGTGTTCCAACGAAAGGTCTGACCTGTACTAGCTGTGGGACTTGGGCCACATGACTTAACCTTAAATGAGGCCATCGCCCACCGGCACTCTCCACAATGCCTAGTACACAGAGGATGGCAGCATCAGGACCAGCTGTTTTACTCCTTTCCCATTATTATTATAATTCTTGTCACTGAGACCAGTCACTATTTAACTGAATTATTCAACAGACAATTGGAACCAGAAGCTTCTACGCACTCTGGAATTTGAGCAATCTAACCTTTGCTGCATCCCCCAGAAAAACAGTGGCAGGAATGGTGGCGGAGGGGAGCAATCTTTGAGTCATGTTAAAGCACCCAGTGATATTTCTTCAGGTTTAAAAAGGCAACTGGGAGGATCACTACCTGTCAGAGGAAGAAGTTTCTCATGTGGAAGAAAACAAACAAATTCTAAAGCAAATAACTTTATTTCTATCATTTCTTTTTAAAGAGCCAAGAAAATATAGAAAATATAAAAAAACACAAACAGCTGTGATTCAAGGGGTAAAGGACCGACACAGCCCTTATTCGCAACAGCCTCCGGAGTGGTCTGTGCTGCATCACTGGTGGGGGTTCTTTTAAAATGGCAGGCTCCTCTGTCTGAGCTCGGCCCCAATAAATCAGAATCCCCAGGGGGTGGGGCCCTGGAAACTGCCTTTTCAAACAAACTTTTCCCACTAATACTCAATTTACAAGGTCTCGCCTTAATACCCAAGAGGACTTGGTAACTTTTCCTCTCTTCCAAAATCCAGGCTGGAACTCAACTAATCCTAAACTAAAACTCAAGAACAGCACAGCAGATGCCACCTGTTGTTTTTCAGGCCCTCAAACTTTGGAGGAAATACATTCCGCCTGCTGTGTTTTTTCCTCTCTAAGGGCCCCTGTGGGCACTGGGAACCGTGGTTCCACTAGTGTTTCCTCGGACCTGGGCCTCGGTCCCCACCCGAAGTCGTGCTCTCTCTGTATGACATCAGGCGGGGAATAAGTCCAAGACGGCGGTACGGGCTCCTAGGCAACAAGGCGCGCTGGTTCCTGGCAGGCATCTCCCACGGTGCCCCAGAGGGCTGGTGATGCCGTGGTGGCACCAGGACAGAGAGGCATCAGAGGGGCTTTCAGGTGATGGCCACTCGGGGGCTGGTACAGTCCCGACAGTGCCGGGGTGGAGAGAGCCAGACCCCGCGCCCCCTGCTCAGCAGCTGCTGGTACTGGGAAGTGGCACATCCGTCCACCTCAGTGGTCGCAGGACACGGTCTGTACTGGTCCAATGACTCCCCCTCTCCCTCCCCGGAGATGCCTTCGTGGGGGAAGGGGACAGGGGACACACGTGGGCATGCTGCGGGTTGGCATCTCTGGGGTTGCCAAGTCGTGGGTTCACTTGGGGCCAAGGCACTCCACAATCCCATTCCCCTTCATGCCATCAAAAAAGAAGAAGTTGTTGTGAGGAGGGTCCCTTTGAGACAGGGCCTGGGGAGAGAAACAAGAGAGGGTTCAGCTCAAATGCTTCAAAAGGGACGAAATGGAGAAAAGAGGAAAAAACCTCCAACACCAGCTCTACAAGCAGTCTGGGCAGTGGTTCTCAGGAGAGGTCGATCTGCTCCCTGGGGCTATTTGGCTATGCCTGGAGACATTACTGATTATGACTGTCACGTCTCTTTGCTCTGTCCCTTCCCAGCTGTGTGTCTCTGACAGACCATTGAGCCTCTCTGAGCCCTACTTTCCCCATGTGAAATGAAAATAATAAATGTATTACATCTTGGCAGTAAAAGAGATGATGTACCCCCACTACCTAAAGTAATGCCTAACACTGAGAAGCACTGCTTGGAAACCACAGTAATAATTATTTACGACTATTCCACTGAGAAACGCAGTGCTTCATTCCGACACGTCTCAGGCGGCAGCATTCGTCACCTGAGGGGACACACACTGATGCAGAGGCGGCTCATCCACGAGGAGCCAGTGCTGCCTGCCTTCCACAGGACGGGCCAGGGCTGGGATCCAGAGGGCCTGGGAGGTGCTCTTCAGCCATGGAAACGGTGATTATCTTGTGGGGTCAACAGAAGGACATGGCACTTTTAAACATGGGGTGGGACTTCCTGAAACTACATGCTGAACCACATGTGTACGTGTGTACACTGGGGAAAGGGTCCAAAGGTGTCCAGTGAGCTTTCTAAGAGGTTCTTAACCCAAAAAGAGTCACCATTTCAAGAGGAGCCATCAACTAAGCAGGCCGCAGGGCAGGGCCTACAGGTCCCCAGGAGTACTGTGCTCGTCATTCACAGGCGGGACCTCCTTCACAGGGCTAGGAACGGGCCCTAACCCCCGGAACTTCTCCTTGAATGGAGCACCAGTCCAATCCATTTCCTCATCTGTAAAATGGGGACAGTTATACCCGCTTCAAGTGGTTACTCAGCCATTTGTCCAAGGAAAATATACTGAGCATCCACTCTGCCAGGTCTCGTGCTAGGTATTCAAGCTTCTGAGGCTTGGGGGAGACAGACGCTTGCCTCTCTGGGCTCACATATGAAACGGGAAATAAACAGCACCCGCCCACTAGAGTTTTTGGTGAGAAGGAAATGTGACCAAGCCTGTAATGTGCCTGGCACACAGTAAATTCTCAGAAAGTGAGTGCTGCTGTCACTAACGGGGGCCAGGGGTCCTTCACCAGCATCTGGGGAGCCCAAGCACTCAGCCAGGTGGAAGGAAGGTTCCAAGAGGCCACAGCCGGAACTCCTAGACCCAGAACCCAGTTACAGGAGATGAGCCTGGTATGGCTGCTGCTGTCACTGTCACCTCTAGTACTGAGGCAGGCAGACCTACTGTGGACAGCAGGGAGAGTAAGGAAGGGTGACTAAAACCTCAAGAAGCACGACATGGCAGGGGACATGGATAGAACATGTGGTGTCTGGAATGACACAAGGAAGGAAGCAAAAAAAGATGATTCCAAGGGAGCAGACTTGCACATTTGCCCTCCATCTCCTAATATTTATTTCTCATGGGCGGTCAGATGGTCCGTCAGGAGGGAAGGGGGAGGTCTGTGGCCCTCAGACTGCAGGACCGTACTGCCAGCTGGCTGAGGACTGGAACCGTGTTAAGTAAGGGGGAGAGGTAGGGACAAGACAGCAGGGCAGGGGGTGAACACGGGGTAAAAGGTAAAGTGCTTCCCAAGCAAGATGGGGGTAGGAAGATTCCAAACACACCCAGCAACCAAGAATGCCGAGTGCTCTGGCTATCTGGGATAAACAGAAACAAGATGCTGGGCAACAGCTGTCCCCAGCAGGCAGGAAGGAGGGGCTGCATCAGAGGTTAGCACTGGGACGCAGAGAAGCCAGTGCGAACAATGGGGTCCAGGCCACGTGCCCTGACCCCTAGTCTCCACCCTACACGAGAAAGCCAGGGAGCAGCTTCTCAGTGGGATGTAGAGAAGCGAGGCCGAGGGCGCAAGGACAGGGGTGCCATTCCGGGATGGCACCTGAGGCACGATGGCCACGTGGTGAAGAGCACGGGCCCAGAAACCAGGCCGCCTGGGCTCAAATCCTGGCTCCACCTCTTCCTGCACCTCAGCTCCTCCTCCAGACACCAGGGATCACAACAGTTCCTGCCTCGCAGGGCTGCTGGGAGGATAAATGAGTTTATCCATGTGAAGAACATGGTCTGCTTGTGGTACACGGTGGGCTTTCAGTAAATGTTATAGATTACTGTTGTCGTCATTATAGGCTACAAAAACATGTATGCTCCCATTCTTCCCTCATGATTTTTCCATCACTGTACTCTTTCCTGCTGAGTCTGTCTACAGGCAGCATCAGAATCCGTCTCAACACGGTCCTCTGGGAAACCTCTACCAGCTTCTCAGATTGGGCACAGAAGCTGAACTGTTCCTGTCAGTCTGGGCTAAGCAAAAGGCATAAGCACGGAAACAGGCACGGCCGTCACATGCTTCTCTTCTTCTCCCTCCAGATCCTCAGTGCTCACTCTACTGCCTATGGCCTAGAAGGTTAGATTTAGGGAAAGAATTCGTTCCAGAGAGAAGGATCAGGAAAGAGGAGAGACAAAAGAGCCTTGAGAAGATGGTGGGACTATCAAATTGAGCCAAATGTCTCCAGGGCAAATGTACAGACCCCAAGACAGAGTAGGGAAGCTGGGTGTCCAAATCGTCCTCCTCAGGTCGAACCCGACCTGTAAATGGACTTGGAAAATCATTTAAGCAGGCACAGCTCTGCTCCGTGAGAGAAGAGGACAAACCATCCCTGCCAGGCCATGAAAGCAGCCACAAGGCAAACTTAACATCTTTGGGCAAACACCAAAGTCCCCAAAGAAAGTAAACATGTTTGGCAGGATGCTATAGTTTTGTCAACCCAAATGTTCCAGAAGAGACTCAAACTGTGCTAGTGACTGGTTACGTGACCCCAGGTGGAATACTTCCCTTCTGAGAGGCAGTCACGGTCACTCTGTATAGGGCCCTGTGGGGCTCCTGGCATAGTACCCATGCTCCACTGGTACCGATTTCCCTCCTTTTCTATGGATACCTGTGGTGTGTGTGTTAACAAGAGGCAGCTCTGACGCCACAGTCAAGGATGGAGAGAAGCCGTATGAAGTGGAGGTTAAGCGCCCAGGTTTTGGAGGCCCTTCTCTGGGCCTCAGTGTCCTCCCCTTCAATGGGGATCATGAGAGTACCCATTTCGGAGAGCCATGAGGAGGAGAATACCTGGCAAATACCATAAGCACCAGATCACTACTCCGTACGGTACGGGATGGCAGATCGCACCTTAAGGGCACTGTGTCCAGCTCTGGGCTTAGTGCAGAGCAGGCACTCAAAGGTCATTTGCTGAACGCCCACCTGGGTAGGCTGGAGAATGGGATGGCGTGGGAAAGGAGAAGAAGGCAGGAAAAGGGTAGGGCATGAAACAAGGGTGGGCAGGGCCAGAGAAACCTGGTAGCTCTCTACAACAGTCCTGGGTTCTCTGCGTCGGCACATCTATAAGGGCTTGGTGAGGAGGGCCAACTATCTTCTGCTCCGCGATGACATTTTACCTTCACAATTTCCTGGGCCAAGATCCCTCCAACCACGGCACACACGGGGGCCATCTCGGAGAAGCAGAACCTGAAAGAGAAGATAAGTGAAACAGAGCCCTGCGGAACAAGAAGGCTGCTAGGACATCTGGAAAGGTCAGTAGTGGGCTGGCCTGAATGCAAACATCTCCTACTGGGTGGAGTCAATTCAGACAGCAATGCTAATGCTGGCATCTAGGTGTGAAAATCAAATCTCATTCAGGGGTTAGTAGGTGGTTGGGAAAGACCTTTGAACCTTGGCAGGCAGGAATTGTTTCACAACTTTTTTTTTAAGTTAAAGGAAAGACTATATCTGTGCTTCCTAAAAATAAGGTCCCACAAATATCAGATGTTTCAGTGCCCCGGTCACATTCTCGCAATTCTCTCCTTACCCACAGCGGGCAGTGGGTTCTATGTGCTATTCCCAGACAAATGTCAGGGAGAAGGCCTGTGTTAACATGTAGGAGGCACAGGAAATTTGGGGCCTGAAATTAAAGCACGGGGGCAGACGGATACCAGCCCTTCTGGGCCAGGATAGGGCACCCAGAGGAGAAATTTTAGCTAATACTGTCACCTACCCCTCCAAATCACCTATCCTGGGTGGCAAAACACTTTCTTCCACCACTTCCCCAGAGAAAGTGTGGCCTGCCAGTTCCCATCACTGAACACAAAGGTTTTTTTTGGTGAGGAAGATTGGCCCTGAGCTAACATCTGTTGCCAATCTTTCTCTTTTTGCTTGAGGAACACTGTCCCTGAGCTAACATCGGTGCCAACCTTCCTCTATTTTGTACTCAGGACACTGCCACAGCATGGTTTGATGAGCAGTGTAGGTCTGCACCTAGGATCCAAACCCACGAACCCCGGGCCACCAAAGTGGAGTGCGCGAACTTAATCACTACGCCACCGGGCCAGCCCCAACAAAGGTGTTTTTTAAATAAGCAAACCAGAACACAGACAACTAGAAGGAAAAGCTTCCCTAAGGAACCCTATCACCAGGAGACCACCTCCAAGCGTCCTAGTTTGGTGCACATCCTTCTAGACATTTTAAAAAGTGCACAAATCTAAACATATATAATTTAAAACCCAAGTAATAGCAACTATTATTCACTCCCCTGTTACCTAATGATGCTATTTAAGCTGTTCAACATCGTGATCATACATCTTGGCATACATAGGTGTCCATGTAATTCCTTATGGCAAATTCCTAAATATAGAATTGCTAGGTCCTGATATATTTTGCCAAAAGGCCCTCCAGAAAGGCCATATCCATTTCAACTCCCACCAACTGTGTTTGACGGTACCCGTCTCCTCACGCCCTGGCCAGGACCAGCATTCCCATCTGTTCAACCTCAGAGGTAACTTTTCCTCCTGCTTATCAAGGTCCATTATAGAACTATAGAACACACAGAGAACTATGCCAAGGAAAAACTAGTCACCCACAATTCCACTACTGGAAGATAATCAAAAGCGGGAATATTTTTCCTTTTTTAAAAAAATACACCTACATTCTGTGTGATCATACTATACAATTTAATATTCTGCTTTTTTTCTCTTAAAAGCATATTATCTCAACAAAATGCTAGCAAATCAAATCAGCAACATATAGAAAAAATTATACACCACAACTCAGTAGGATTTATGGCAGGAATGAAAGGTTGGTTTAACATCTGAAAAATCAATCCACGTAGTATGCCATATTAATTGAATAAAGGACAATAAACAGACGATCATCTCAATAGACACAGAAAAAGCATGTGACAAAACCCAGCACCTTTGCATGATAAAAACATTCAACAGGGGGCCAGCCCAGTGGTGCAGCAGTTAAGTGCACAGGCTCCACTGTGGTGACCCGGGGTTCACAGATTCGATCCCGGGAGCGCACCAACGCACCGCTTGTCAAGCCATGCTGTGGTGGCGTCCCATATAAAGTAGAGGAAGATGGGCATGGATGCTAGCCCAGGGCCAATCTTCCCCGGCAAAAAGAGGAGGATTGGTATAGGATGTTAGCTCAGGGGTAATCTTCCTCACACACATACAAAAAAATTCAACAAACTGGGAAGAGACGGAAATTTCTTCATCCTGACAGAGGGCATCTAAGAAAAATCCACAGCTAACATCATACTTAGTGGTGGAAAACTGAAAGCTTTCCTCCTAACATCAGGAACAAGACAAAGCTGTCTGCTCCCACCACTTCTATTCAACACTGTACTGGAGGTTCTAGCTGGGGCAATTAAGGAAGGAAAAAGAAATAAGAGACATCAGATTAGAAAAGAAGTAGTAATACAGATTCACAGATGACATGATCTAGTATATAGAAAATATTAAGGAATCCACAAAAAAATTATTTGAATTTGAACTATTAAGTTAACTCAGCAAGGCTCAGGATACAAGATTAATGTACAAAAATAAATTGTGTTTCTATACATTAACAGTGAACATTCTGAGAATGAAATTAAGAATTCCATTTACAATAGCATCCAAAAGAATAAAATATTTAGGAATGTGTAAAACTAACACTCTGAAAACTATAAAACATTGCTGAAAGAAATAAAAGACCTAAAAAAATGGAAAACTATCCCATGTTCATGGAACAGAAGACTTAATATTGTTAAGATAGCAATACCCCCCAAATTAATCTATATATTTGACACAGTCCCTATCAAAATTCCAGATGCCTTTTTTGTAGAAATGGAAAAAAACATCCTAAAATTCACATGGGAATGCAAGGACCCAAAACAGCCAAAACAATCTTGAAAAAGAACAAAGTTGGAGAACTCACATGACTCAATTTCAAAACTTACTACTACAAAGCAACAGTAATCAAGATAGTGTAGTACTGGCATAAGAACAGACATATAGATCAATGAAATAGAATAATACGTATATGGTCAACTGATTTTTGACAAAGGTGCCAAGGCTATTCAATGGGAAAAGAAAAAGTCTTTTTAACAAATGGTACCAGGACAATTGGGTTTCCACATGCAAAAGAAATAAGTTGGACCCCTACCTCACACCATGTACAAGTTAACTCAAAAATGGATCAGAGACCTAAATGTAAAAGCTAAAACTATAACACTCTTAGAAGAAAACACAGAGAAATAATTCTTCATGACCTTAGATTAGGCAATGGTTTCTTAGATGTGACAACAAAAACCTATGAAAAAAGAAAAAATAGACAAATTATATTTCAAAAAAATTAAAAACTTGTACTTCAAAGGATACCATCAAGAAAGTGAAAAGACAACCCACAGAATGGGAGAAAAGTTTTGCAAATCATGTATGTGATAAAGGACTTGTGTCCAGAATATATAGGGAATTCTTGATTTAACAATAAAAAAATAACCCAATTAAAAAATAGGCAAATGATCTGAATAGACATTTCTCTAAAGAACATATACAAATGGTCAGTAAGCACATGAAAAGATGCTCTACCATCATTAGTCATTTGGGAAATAAAAATAAAAACCGCAATGAGATACAACTCATTACCCACTAAGGCCTAAAACAGACAGACAATAACACTTGTTGGCAAGGATGTGGAGAAAGTGGAACCCACATAAAGTGCTGCGGGGATGGTAAAGTGGTGTGTCCGCTGTGGAAGACGGTTTCGCAGTTCCTCAAAATGTTAAACATAAAGTTACCACATGAGCCATCAATTCCACTCTTAGGTATACACATTCAAGAGAAATGAGAAATTACGTTCACACAAAAACATGTGAACATTTATAGTGGCTTCAGTCATAATTGCCAAAAACTGAGAACTCAAATGTCCTTCTACTGGTAAACAAACTGTGGTATATCCATATAATGGAATACTACTCAGCAATAAGAAATGAGCTACTGGGCCAGCCCCATGGCTTAGCAGTTAAGTGTGCGCGCTCCGCTGCTGGTAGCCAGGGTTCGGATCCCGGGCGTGCACCGATGCACCATTTCTCCGGCCATGCTGAGGCCGCGTCCCACATACAGGAACTAGAAGGATGTGCAGCTATGACATACAACTATCTACTGGGGCTTTGGGGGAATAAATAAATAAAAATTTTTAAAAATTAAAAAAAAAAAAAAAAAAAAAAGAAATGAGCTCCTGATTCATACTACATGGATAAATCTCAAATGCATTAAGCTAAGTGAAAGAAACCAGACTCAAAAGACTACACACACTCTATGATTCCATTTATACTACATTATTAGGAAAGGCAGAACCACAGGGACAGAGAATAGATCAGCACTAGCAGGTGGGGAAGGGACTGACTACAACAAGGCATCACGAGGGGATTTGGGGATGACGAAACTTTTCTCTATCTTGATTGTGGTCATGGTTACACAACCCTATGCCTTTGTAAAAATGCACAGAACTTTAGAACAACACACACACGCAATTCATAGAGCTGTGTAACAAAAAAGAATACATTTTACTGTACGTAAATTTTTAAAAATACACTATGAGGAAAGCAGAACGAACTTCACTGTATATTAAGTCTAAATAATAAAAATTAAGCAAGACAAAACAAGCATCACCTCAGGAAACAATCAGAAAAACCCAAACATGGGATAGTCTACAATATAAGTGGAAAAAAGAAAAAAAGTGGCAAACTGTTCTAGATCAGGAGCTGGAAAACTTTCTCTGTAACGAAGCAGACAGTAAATTTTTTTGGCTTTATAGGCCATGTGGTCTCTGTTTCAGCTCTTCAAGTCTGCTGTTGTAGAGCAGTAAAAATGCTACAAAAGCTGTCACAGATAATGTATGAATGAGTAGGTGTGGAATAAAACTTTATTTACAAAAACAGGTGGCAAGCCATAGTTTGCCAACTCCAAGATTAACAGACACAGAACCAAATGCAACAGATGAACTCTGATACATTCTTAAGCATCATGTCATCAGTATGCCCCTCCCCGCAAAACAAAAAGCAAAAAGATTTACAATGGCACCTAGCTGAGCTGTATTCAGGTGTTCACTACTGTACTATGCTTTTCCATTTTTCTGTATGTTTGACATGTTTCATAATAAACATTTTTAATCTGTGCATAACGCTGTGTTGTCCTATATCATTAACTCTTTAATGCCTTTTCAATTTCTCTCTTATAAAGGTTGCTTCTTTTTCCATCACCCTTGCTAACAATGAATATTATGAGTATTGTTTAAAAACTTACAAAGGATGTTGCTGATTTTACATATACTATAGTAGAAAATGTACAAGAAGATATAATACTAAATGGTCAGTGGTTTTCTCTGGGTAATGAATTTGAGTGATTTTCATTTTCATCTTTGAATTTATTCTGTACTGTCTGACTTTTCCATAACACGTGTATCTTTCTGTAATTCAAAAACCAGTAAGTTCACAAAAGGACAAACACTGTATGAGTCCACTTATATGAGATACCTAGAATAATCAAATTCATAGAGAGAGAAAGTAGAACAGAGGTCACCAGAGGCTGGGCAAAGGCAGAATGGAAGTTAGTGTCTAATGGGTACAGATTTTCAGTTTGGGATGATGAAAAAGTTCTGAAGATGGATAGTAGTGACGGCTGCACAACAATCTGAATGTACTTAATGCCGCTAAACTGTACACTTAAGAATAGTTAAAATGGTATATTTAATGTTGTGTATATTTTACCATATTAAAAAAATTTTTAACAGTAAAAGTTATATTACATATAGAAATTATGAATGTTCATCATAAATGTTTATAATAATGAAAAACTATAAACAACTTAAATACCCACCAATAAGGAAATGGTTAAACAAATAACCATACATCAGACAGTGAAACATTATGAAGTACAAGTGAGGATATGGATCTGTATTTTTGGCACAAACAGGTCCCTGATATGCTGAAAAAAGGTTCTCATGGGAAGTATGATCTCATCCTGATATTTAAAAAGAGGAAAACTGAGTAGATACACATAGGGAAGCCTGTGAGGCTGAACCCCGAAATGTTGGCAGTGGTCACTTCTCAACGTGAGACTACGGGGGATCCTCTTCTTCCCTCCTACAATTTCTGGCAACGGGCATCTGTTATTTTCATAATCAGAAAAGCAATGAAGCTCTCTGAAAAGAGAATAAATGACGTAACATACAGGACAGTGCAAGCGGATCCGACAGATGAGGGCAAGGGAGGCTTGTGCATGGCTCTCTCTACTCAAGTGAGCAGACCCTGCTCGGCGCTGGTGGTGGACAATTTGCGAGGGCAGCTCAGCTGCCAGACGGCAGCTCATTTCCTTGCTGGCATCCCTAGCCCATCTCAGGCCTCATCTCCACCTATCCACAGACGGACTTCAAGAGGCCACCAAACCCCTCTCACTTAAACGGCGACAGAGTGGGAGCACCTGAGCCCCTGAGGCCCTAGACACAGGAAAGCGGTTTCTGCACAGAGAGTGGGCGGGGAGGGAAAACACTGTGGAAAGAAACCAGACAGCAGCCAGTTAGGCTGTGGCTTTCTCCTCCTGGGAAGCGGAGCCTCCGCCACTGGCTGGAGATGCAGAGGCAGGCCGTTCATCACTCTAAATGCCCAAATTAGTCACTTGGCTGCATACTCACGGCCCGGCACTAGGTATGCTTGGCGGCCCAGCCTGCCTGGCTGTGTCTGCTGAAACTGTAGCCCTGCGTGAGCCAGCCCCTCCTCCTGCCGTGAAGCACAGGGCAGGACTCACTGGCTTCCCACACGCTGTCCTTCTCTACCGAGAGATGTGTGCCTGCTGTTAGCCTGGGACAGGGACCCTATCCCAGCCTGCCGTGTCATGAGCCCCTGACTTCACGGTGTCAACTTACAAAAGCACCTTGTCAACTGCTGCCTCAAGTTTTGGCTGAGGGCTCAGCAGGTGGTTCAAAGCTCACTGCTGGTCCTGAATTGGGTGGTGGAGGGTTGTTAGTACCTAAATGAGGTTCCCAGCCACAAGTGAAGAAAGAAGGGACTAGGGAGGGAAGGGAGTCTGATCCACCTTCTTGCTGAAAAGAAGCCAGGGCAGTGTGCTGCAACCAGAGATTAGCAGTGTGGCGAGACTTGGGAGAGATCTTGGTTGCCTGCTTACTAAAACCTCAGACAAGTGACTGGATCCTTCTGAGCCTGTTTCTTCATTTCACTAATGGGAAAATAATACCCACTTCAAGGATGATTGTGAGAATTAACTGTGGCCGTGTAGGTAAAGCACAGATGTCTTCAACACATGATGCTACTGTTACTAGCTACATAAGCTTGGACTAGGCACTTAACTGCTCTGAGCTTCAACTTAACTCCTCCTCACCGATAAAATGGGTTTTAGAGGACCACATACATAAAGCAGCCACCACAATGCCTGGTACATAACAGCTGCTCAATAAATTACAGCCATCGTTACTCCTGCTACACACTGGAGGCACAGCACAGCAGTTTAGGGAGTCCCCCAAACATCCTGAGAGAACAACAGTGAGCAGAGGATCCCAGGACTGCATGGAAGGGACTCCTGACCACGTCATCATTTGGACCTCTCCAATCAAACCCTAAACCTGATAAGGGAGAAAAGCAAAAGACTGGCGGCCTGGGGCCGGCCCTGTGGCTTAGCGGTTAAGTGCGCGCGCTCCGCTACTGGCGGCCCGGGGTTCGGATCCGGGAGCGCACTGACGCACCGCTTCTCCAGCCATGCTGAGGCTGCGTCCCACATACAGCAACTAGAAGGATGTGCAACTATGACACACAACTATCTAGTGGGGCTTTGGGGAAAAAAAGCAGGAGGATTGGCAATGGATGTTAGCTCAGAGCCGGTCTTCCTCAGCAAAAAGAGGAGGATTAGCATGGATGTTAGCTCAGTGCCCATCTTCCTCACCAAAAAAATAAGACTGGCAGCCTAAGGTGAAAGCATCGCAGTGCCCAAGGGCGAGGATGCCGGGAACACGGATGCCTTTGCTGCTGAGGGGACAGAGTGAGAAGCCATCAGTGGAGGGCGGTGGGGCACTATCTACCAATGAGAAACCACAGTCTTCTGACCCAGCCTCTCCCTTTCCAGGAATTTATCCTGCCGTTACACCTGCGCACATATGAAACAACACACACACAAGGCCACACACTACAGCATGATGTGATGTTGAAGGCCTGGCTACAACTTGAGGCGGCAGGGACCGCTTCAATCAACTACGCTGCTCCCGTGCTGGAGTACCACAGAGCTGCCGAGACAAGCGAGGAAACTGCGCACTGATCCAGAAACAGCCCCCAAAGATAATGTGAAGTGAAAAAGCAAGGTACAGAACAGCGTATTTAGATTTTATACTGCCTTGCATTTTGAACCATGTGAATATAAAACACCTATCACAAGGAACAGACCCTGCACCTCTCTTTATCGTTCAGACTGCAGTTACACCAACGGAGAGGGAGAGGTCTACAGAGTTGGCTACTGCGGGAAGCAGGCTCTCCTCAGGGCTTCTGGTCTTAATAAAGCATCTCCCCAAATTAAGGCAAATACTGAAAGCAGACGCTGATCAGGTTAAACTGTGAGAAAAACTGAGACCAACCTGACAAAGTCTTCGGGAAGCAGGTCAGGATTAACGCCCAGGGAGTCAAGCACATCGTTTCGAATCTGGAGCAACAACTCAGAATCTTCCCCAAAGGTATCAGAACTCGGGTCTCTTCCTTTATCCGTGCGGAACTTCAAGAGCACTGGGGACAGAAAAGGAAGGTAGGTTAGAAAGCAGGTCTTGTTATAATAAATGCGTACAGACACTGATATTTAAATTTTTTTTTCATTCCTTAGGCAAGTAGTATATTAACTAAAATGTGAGCCAAGTGAAAGGTAATACACTTTTCATTTATTCAACAAATACAGTCAGAAAAGCAATCAAATAATTACAAAAACGACTAAAATTACTGGGATGAGTGCCACGATAGTAAAACAGAGGATCTGACGTCGTCTGTAGGGTGGCAGCAGGTAAGGCTTCCCTGAGGAAGCAATAATTGAGTGAAGTGTGTGTGAGTTCGGGCAGGAAGCAGGGGAGAAGCTTCCAAGAGAGGGAAAAGGCCATATTATGACCCAGAAGAGAGGTTAGGAGTGGGAGGCATGCATTCTAGGCATCAGTTCAAAGGGCCGCTTCAGTGAGAAAGGCCAGCCAAATGGTCAGACTCATCAGACAGGCAGGTCATTACAAACTAAACCTCCCTTAGTACAACAATTATGTCGGCCTCCAGAACCGGATGTTTAATTTTGGTTGTGAACCAGAGGAAAGGTTCAGATGATGGCAGCGAATCAGAGCTACTGTGTAATGAGATCCTGAATTTTTAGTTCAAATTGATCAAAATACCAGCACCTTCTACTGCCACTACACCTGTCCACTGCATGCTGAGTGGGTGGCATTCTTGTTCTCACATGCTCCCTGAGGCAGGAGTACAGCCAGCTTTGAGCCTGGGCTGTAGGGCAACGCTCCTCCCTCCCACACCACGTGAGCTTTCTCAGAGTGGAAGCAGAGACACGTGGGTCCGGGTGCTCCGGGGAAGCTAGCACCCAGAGGGGGCAAACCTGGAGGGGGCTTTACAGTTTGCAAAGTGTTCCATTTAAGTCTCATCAGTATCTGCTGACTGAAAAAGTGAACTTATTCAGCAAATTATACTCTCTATCAGTACAAGGGGCTCTTTGCTAAAATTGAGGTGGATTGAAAATTCAGGCAATTGCTCTGAGGCTCTTTAAAAATGCAAGTATTTGGGGCCGGCCCCATGGCATAGCGGTTAAGTTTGACGTGCTCTGCTTCGGCGACCTGGGTTCGAGGGTTCGGATCCCAGGCACAGACGTACAGCACTTGTCAGCCATGCTGAGGCAGCAACCCACATACAAAAAAGTGGAGGAAGACTGACACAGATGTTAGCTCAGAGCTAATCTTCCTCAAACAAAAAAAGAGGAAGATTGGCAACAAATGTCAGCTCAGGGTGAATCTTCCTCAAAAAAAAAAAAAAAAAAAAAAAAAGCCAGTATTTGGAACCCACCTCAGACTAAGGAATCAGTCTGATTCTCTTGTCTTCTTAAGACTCACAAATAGTTTTGGTGATGAGCAGCCCGGGTTGAGAACCACTCTCCAAGAAGTAGTACAAATTCATTCACTCACCAGCATGACGGAGCACTTCCTGTGTGCCTGGCAGACCTAGGTGCTAAAGGCACAATGGCGAGTGAGCGAGTCTTGGTCTCTGCACGCATGAAGGCGACTGGGGGAGGACAGGGAACTTAGGAGCCACAACAGACGGCTCCAGTGAAGCCCGAGAGAAATTCATAAATGGGTTATAAAGTGTTCCAAGAAGATCCCAAACCACGGAGGCCCAGGTAAAAGATGATAGAAACTGCTTCCGGGCTCTGCTTTTCTCAGTGCCAGTTTCAGAGAAAGGCCCCTGGTCCCTATTTCTCTGGCAACTTTTACATGCCCAGTATAGGGCTCTGCACATCAGAGGTTTAAAAAAAAAAGGCTCCAGAACACCTGTTTTGAACACTGTTTGCCATCTGAGAACGTTACTCTCCTCTCTTTTTCAAGATCACAGTGCCTGGAACCCTCAATTCCACCTGACCACTTGGCAGCCAACTCAAAGCTGATGACAACCTGCTTGCTGACTAACACTGATCTGCCATCACCTAAGCTTAACTTCTAACTTTGTAGATGTGTTACTGAATTCCCATTTCGAGTAAATGAATGCAATCAAGTATGCATTTGGGGGCAGGCTGGAGACAAGACTGCAGAAGTGGCAGTTAATCCCTGTTTAGATCACACCTCTTTCTCAACAATGTCCTGTTGAAGACAAAGGAATCTGGAAATCTGCTAGCGCAGCCACAACAGAGGATACTCCGAACGGACTGTATCGAATGTCAGTGCTATTCCTGTCCATCACTCCTGACAAGCCACGACGACACACCAGAATGAGGAGCAGTGTCGCCTGAGCAGATGATGGAGGCAATGCCAAGCACAGGCTGCTCACACTGCACAATCCGAGGCCCCGCGGCCACCCTGTGGACACTGAGTGAGGCTGCTTGGTGGCCAGCGGTCAGGGGGCGGACAGCAGCAGGAGCCCCACACTGGCGGCCTCCTGTGCGCTCCTCTCATTTCTGTGTCACTGGGACTGAAGTACCAACTGTCATAAGGGACGGAGAAGAGAGAATAATTTTTCAGCCCTCACCACAAAGCTTTTCATCTTTTGGTTAAAAAACATAGCGCTAAGATCAAAGCTCAAACCGTTATAATAATTGCAAAACAAACAGTGCCTCCTATGTGCCAGGCACCATCCTCAACATTTTACGCGCACTGACACTCATCCACAGTAACCTGGTGAGGTAGGTGGCTCCTACTACTCTTCCTAGTTCATAGATGAAGAAACTGAAGCCAGAGAGATTAGTGGCTTATTTGATAAAACTGCCAAAAAGCAGTGGAGCAGGAAGGCCAACCTCGCCCTCCGAATCTGTGCTTCTTCACCCTACTCGGATCCAGGAGAAACGGCAGGACCATCAGGAATGCAGCCCCAAGGATCCCAAGCGGTCTGGCTCTCCGCCCCTCACCTCAGGAGGACTCCCATTCAACCACATTTGCGCCAGATACATTTTCCAGATGGGCCCTGCCCTCTCTCAACTGTCTATGAATTTTAAAGTACTAGCTCATTGGGTGGAAGTGCAGGCGGAGGCCATACGAAACCCTGTCCACCAATCTTCAGAGCAAGCCCAGTTTCACCCCAGAAAGAAAGAAGACGGCTCTAACAGAAGGAGTGAAGGCAGCCAGCAGCTGGCCCCGCTGCTTCTCTGGGCCCCTCGCCTATTCCTGGTGTAGTCCGCCTGGACAAGGGCCGGCAGGCTGGCACCGTCCAGATACCTCGCTGACCACATCTGAAGTCCTCTCAGGGCCTCTGGGAAGGGGGCCAGTCAGTCCGGCCACTTATTTGCAGCAAAGCAAACAGAAGCTGTATTTTTCACTCTTTTTCTAATGTCAGCACTCCAGTTAGCAGGGGCGGAGGGGGGCGGGAAGAAGCTTGTGTTCTAGACAGGCAGCAGCCTCAGAACTGACCCTAGCCCCTGACAAGTTCTTGCTTATTAAATTCTCCTCTTTGTTCTGCTTTCTGCCCCTCCCAAAGAGCCAGACACACACACACCATTGTTGACTCTGCATTTCTGAAGAGTACCTCCCCACCAGTTTCCAGATTATAAAACCGTTCTGTCAAGATCAAAAATTGTCAGGGATGGAGAGCTGCTCTGCCAAAAGATGACTCATCGAATCACAGCAAAACACTGCACAAAATTAGAGTTCCAAACTTGATTAACTTCATCTGAGCCTTTTAATTAACTCAGGTTGCTGAAGTCCAGGGGGATGACATTCATTGCTGGAGATGACAGGCTAGAGTCTCTGCTTAAGTTCAGGACTTGCCCATGTAACGGAAAGGCAAACTTCAAAAAGGAGAAACCAAGCACTTTTTCGTGGATTAGAGGAAAAACTGGGTACATGTGAATATACCACTACTTTTGCAAAAAAAAAAACAAAACAAGAAAAAACAAAAAGAAAACCACTCAAATTCAAATGTAATCTGAATCAGAATATCCAATTAGCATTATAACAAGAATTTAGAAAGCAATATTATTAATCACTGTATTTCTTTTTTTTTTTTTTTAAAGATTTTATTTATTTTTTTCCCCCCAAAGCCCCAGTAGATAGTTGTATGTCATAGCTGCACATCCTTCTAGTTGCTGTATGTGGGACGCGGCCTCAGCATGGCCGGAGAAGCAGCGCGTCGGTGCGAGCCCGGGATCCGAACCCGGGCCGCCAGCAGTGGAGCGCGCTCACTTAACCACCAAGCCACGGGGTCGGCCCCAATCACTGTATTTCTTTCTACAAACTTCTTATTGCATTTAAATTGTGATTTTATTTAGCATAATCACTAAGGCCACTGGAAAAAAACAGTATTTTTATAGGAAAATAATAAAGTCAATGTTGCAAATTAGCCTCGACTCAATTGCAGTCTCCCAAAATAGCTCAATCGAAGGGGGAAAAAAAGCCAAATCTATATATAAAAACCTCTTTTGCCTGACTGGCGCCTCAAACTTTTCTGTGCCAGACACCCTTGGCCCAGTCCCTCTGGCACTCCCCAACCTACCACAGTCCCCTTCTCCCCCAGCATGCTCACTTAGTGAAGACTCATCTCTGGGAATGGCTTGGAAATTGGCTCCAATCCTGCGGTACATAAACTTCCAAGAAAACAAAAAGTACAGTGACCCTCTTAGCCAAGAGCCTATCTTCTAAGGCCAAAATCTAGGTCTGCCCTTCAGTCAACTGTTCATTCGATAAATATGTGCCAGGCCCTGAGCTGGACAGGGGAGAGCGAAAGGGACGCTCTGCCCTCTGTGAGCACCTAGGGCGACAAACAAAATTGACGTATGAGACAACGAAAGGTGGGCAGCAGAAAAGGAGCTCCAAGAGAGCATGATGGGGAAGGAGTCGGGGGGTCTCCTCACGCAGCCAGAACCACCTCACCTTCACTGGTCCCCAGCCCTGAACACCTGACCCTCACTGCCCTCTTGCCCTCGGGCTGTTCACCAGGCTGTTCTTCAAGGCCTGCGGCACCTTCCCTCTGCAAAGCCCTTCCTAGGCCTGGGAGCGCTGAAACCCGAGGCAGCAGAGTACAGCAGTGGGGGGCACAGCTCTGGAGCAGAC